ATTTAGCTGTTAGCGTATTATTACTGTCCTCCTAATGTTATCTTTATGGCTGCGAGCGCATTCGGATTTCTAAATAACAGTTTGGTTGTGGGAAAGTAGACAGTATCGGGTCTTGAGTTCAATCCTTTGAAACACCCTTTATTGGGGTAGTTAGGATAGGATACTTCTACTTCACGAAGTGAACTTTGGAAAAACATTTCCGTCGCATTTAGCCGAAATTTGTGATGTATAATTTTTGGCATTAGTCTAATAGCGTTGAGAAAATCAGAACTGTAAAGTTATAAGTGAATTCCGCAGGTTCCGAAATATGTGTTGTGTTTTTTTCTTGGCCTCTACTATCACAATAGAACTAGAGTTATTATTAAGGTCTCCAAAATGTTCAACCAGTAACATTGTAATTATTTAAAATAGATGGACGAGCATGTAATCAATTCATTACACACCAGTCGTCTTCTACGTTCAGAATGTATTCACTTTTTCAAGCTGCACATGATGTGAGTAGTGTTATCAACGTCATCTTGCAACGAGGCTATTTTCTTTGCTAATAGCTTTCTAAGACTACATCCAAGCATCGGTGCGCACTCTTCTTTACGTTAAATGTTTGCCAAAGTACTATGATCACTTGAAAATCGAATTTTACATTTGTATAAAGCAGGTAAGAAAAATGCAATTTAATGCGTTATTTTCCAGTAAACAGGTCGACATTCTTCTTCAGTTTATTTCGTGAGATTTCTTGCCCAATGGGTAAACAAAAGCTTGTTAACAATCCTCTTGTTTCACATATTCCTTTGTTTCTGACATATGAAGATATTCTTCTAGAAATCGCAAAACATCCCCACCATTAAGCGGTCATGTCAATGGTTAGGCGTATAATAGTGTGCGAACTACCATCTGTTAATATGAGATTCTAAAACGGAACCGGCACAATCTTACCAATCTGGACAGCAGCACTGAACACCAACGTGCATCCGCTGATATCTTTTGCATAATCTAAATCTCGGCAGACTCCATCGTCGCGAAAATTCATGTGGCAATTTTACAGGAGACAAGTTACCTTGATGTACATCCAGTTGCGTGCCTAGGATTAGATTGGTAATTCTATTTGAATTTGCTAATCTCGAATTTGTCCATTTAAACCATGACTTTATGAAATTGTTTGTTCTGTTGACGAGAGCAATCACTAATCCGATCTTGATCGTGGAAAAATATTAAGAAGGAAAATCACCACTCTTGGAACCGTTTTCGAACCTGCAATCTGACTAAAGATTGCTCGAAAACTACACTTCTGTTATAGTATGTAGTTGAATAAATGTCACACTTAAGTTCAGATTAATTCCTGGGCGATATTTTAATCGCGAACTATTTAAAATAATAACAACAATGACTGTCCGACTTCTGCTGTCTATTTTACTCGGTTAGTTATATGGATAGGATATGTGTTCTTCTAGTATTGGGGTTATGCATTTTCAACAAATTTGTGCCTTCTCGAAAATTCGTTGTTCTTACGACAATGGTCACTTTTTACAAACTAGTATTGCTCCGGAGTCAATTTGAAGGCAGTATGCTAATGACTGGAAGGTTTGCTGAAATACGTTTTTACCGGCACCTGATTAATTAGACGTCTTTCTTTAATCCACGGGCATTCCATGCCCTAAGTCCATGGTGATGTGTCTGGTACGTATCTGAATGATTGGATATCTTTTGCTATACTGTATGATTTAAATAAACGCTTTTAATCGGAAAATTGTTCGACAGCTTTTTTATAAGTTCTAGCGACACAAAATGTACTCTATCTTGTCTGAGTCAAGACATTTTTTAAAAACATACATCAGGCTAGAATGACGCCTTCAAAGCTGCATTACGGGGGGTTTCACGCACCACGTAGTGTGCGCTAATTTAGAAGAGCGACCATTCCTAGCACCACACAACTTATTACCTAAATTCCACACCCTATCGTGCAACAATATCGCTTCTTGATTGGACAGCATGAAGCCGGATAATAACGTCGGCAAGACTACGAGTCTGTCCATTGACCGCTTCGAATGAAAATAACCTATCCCTCTTGGAAACTCAACCAATGCAACCGAGTACCTACGGGCAAGAATGCCAACCGTTCTGCTTTACAATGGGGAGGATACGCTGTTTGTGAAATTTTTACAGCATCAATTACCTCTAAACCAGCAGCTGATTTCGCAAATTATATGAAACAGGGCACAACATGCCTTTCTATGCACACAACGCTCGCCTCCCCGCCCCAATTGTATTTCTTAACATGCACACATACGGTAGGTGATCTAACACATGAAACATGAGGACGAAAAATGAGACGATCAATTTTAGGCGCCCAAAATGTTGCAAATTTTATTCATTCGTTTAACCAGTTCCGGAAAACGCCCCCCTTGACATGCATAATACGTTTTTGAATGGTTTTTCACTTAAAATGTCTGCAGGTATGAGCGAAAGTTTGACTAACCTGGTATTCGGACAATTTCCTATGCTAATAACTGTCTCAAGCTAAGTTCTCGCATTTAGGCAAGAATAATCCGGAGAGTAATATAAACTCGGTGGGTTTACCGAACGGAACTTGTCGTAATTGAAGAAGGATGTTTTTCTACACGTATATTTGATGGACCAGGATGTATGCAAAAAGGTTATTTTCGGAAAAGCAGACATTTTACTGATCGCAAAAAGTTAATTTTCACATATGTGTAACTTCATGCACCGAAACGCAGTAAAAAATGAGCAATCACATTCATAAAAGGAGGCGTTAAATTAAGCAAGCATAGCAAAAAGCTACAATATGAAATGCGAATTCTTTTGTTTATATAAGAAAAATTATCACTATTTTTCAGAGAAGTGAAAAGGCTGACCTAATATTTCAGTCATTTCCGTGACCTTGGTTTGGAAAAGACTATGTACGTGGGCATCCATCAGCATGCTGCCGTACTAAATCGCTTTTTAAAGAGGTGAACTATTAAGGTTTGTCGACTCATACAGAGTGCATTCATTTTTGACTTTCGCCTTTGGTGTTTATTTTTCTCGCCGATGAGGTTAGATGTTAGGGTGAGTGTACAAATATGATCAGCTCCGTCTAGCCGCCTCAGCCTCCACGGAGTCGAAGGGGGCTCTCGAAGGGCTCAGCAGAACCGATGGTGGGCTATAGAGGGGCAGTTGGTCGAGACAGTCGCCTTTGGCCCCGCTGCCAAAGAAAATTCACAGGAACGTTGGGTTTTTTCCGCTTTATGTTCCTTGTCTTGCGACATCGATTTTCCACTCGATGTGGTACCTTTACCTCCCCGGACGTCTGACTGATAACCAGTCATATGAAGTTACTTAGATGACTCCTACGCTGTATTCACTGTCTCCGCACAAATAAATTGTTATGGACACTTTGTTCTAAAAAAAAGCTATAAAAACTTGTGAACAGTCATATTATGTTTCCATGCTGGTGTGTCATATGAAACAAAAAGGGTATGTGCACTATTGCACCTGCCAATTCTATTCAAATTTATTAGTCGCCGATTGGTCCGTCAAGGTGTCACCCTGTGAAATATTTTATTTCGGTGATGTGCCGGTCGGAGAACTCAAGCGAATTCGTATTTGCTCTAATCAGTCGCATCTGAAGCAATGCATAAACAGAAAAGTTGTGGCCAATTCTCGTAGGCTGTTTTCTAGCCCCCAGACTTGACATTACAATAGTTCCTAAAGGATATTTAAGTGCAAACGTCACTTAGGCACTACCTTCAAACGTTATTCTACTTGTGACGTTTCATTTAAGTAGTGTTTGTATGGACAGTCTTTCCGCACTCATGAAACTTAAGTTTACTCAGGTACAACGGTTTTGGACGTTTTCGCAACTTCCGCCCATCTAAAAAGGTGTTATTTCTGAGCAAAGTGACATTGCCTCATGATCTGCTATATGCCTTAAATTCGTTTGAAGTCGTCGGCAGCCCATTTTGAGTTTCGACCTGTTCGTTTTTGGCCGGTTTGCGAGCGATTCATAAAGTTCGACACATTACATAAATTACAACATTTACGGAATGTCCCCGTTATACTCTGAGTCACACACCTGGCGACATACGAGGTCTCAGTTGGTAATTACGCCAGTCAATTAATGTGAACAAGTCTCGCGGATCGTTTGAAAAAGTTGACAACCCGCGTCAGGCATGTTTGCAATTGAATTCCCCGGTATCAGCCTGCACAATTCTCCGTCCCTAGCACGTCTCATCTGACTATAATACCCCAAGCACATTAGCTGGGAACTCTGCTTAAAAGAACGCCTTTCGAGACTGGACTTGTTCGGGCTCTGTGATGAATGATCGCCGGCGGTCACTTGTCATCCACACATCATTTTGTCCTGTGACATATTCCTGTCTGCACAAATTAATCACTTTCAATTAATATTTGCGTTTTTCATCATAAGTTGTTTTGCTGGGCTTTCGGGGGCACATACGTAAACGAGTGGTATCGCTGTGTATAACGAAGCATGCGGCAAATCCTCCTGTCAATGAGCCTCCAGAAGTCCGATTTAAGTACTATAATCGGCATAACACATAATCGGGCCCAGATGAATTGATGAAGAGCAGGACGCATGTATTACTGAGATATTTAAATACCTGCATCATGCACATTTCTCTATACCCAATTAAATATTTAAAACATTCCTACGAAGAATATCCTCCACGCGGCACGACGTAGTCCTCTCAAATGATAATTAGTAGATAATTATTCCTAATGCCCAAGTCTGTGGTACTCCGTCAAAAAATAGACCAGGAGGAAATTTACTAAACGCTTGAAACGTCCGCGCAAAGGCAAAGTTCCGAATATCACGCTTACTTGCACAGTCCACAAACTGAGCATCGAAAACAGAACGAGATAATGATAGGACGAAAAAAGAAACCTGGGTTATACCAAAAAGTATTAATGATAAAACCATGCAAAGAAGGACAAGTTAACTAAACTAAATATGGAGTAAAATACAATTTCCCTTTCAAATAAATCTACGGATAAGCAAAGATAAAAAGCACAACAGATACAAGCCAGCAGTACGCAAGCGATAGTGGTGAAAAACCAGAGGTGGAAATGTCATCAGTCTGTGCACTGGCGGCAATGGATTGAGAAGATTCAGTCGAAGCAGAAAGAGTTGTAGGATGCGCGGATTCCGCGGAGAACTGGTAGTAGGTTGAGTGTGAGGCGTCACTAAAGGAGACGTATTCGCTGGGCTCTGTGTTCACACCACTGGGAGACGACAAAGGCAACGAGGACTCGGCAGGATGTGATGGTTCATTGGAGGACTGAAAGTGGGTAGAGTATGTGGTTTCAGTGGAAGAGAAGGCCTCGCTTGACTCCGTGTTCACACCACTGGGAGACGACAAAGGCGACGAGTACTCGGCAGGATGTGAGGGTTCATTGGAGGACTGGTAGTGGGCAGAGAGTGTAGTTACAGTGGAGGAGAATGCCTCGTTAGTCTCTGTGTACCCACCACTGGGAGACGACGAAGGTGACGACCCGGCAGGCTGTGAGGGTTCAGTAAAAAACTGGTGGATGGTAGACTGTGTGATTTCAGTGGAGTAAACAGACTCGGTAGGTTCTGTGCTCCCATCGCTTGGAGACGAAGAATCGACAGGCTGAGAGGCATCAGCAGAGGGCTGGTGGTGGGAAAACTGCGTGGTGTCAGTGGAGGAGACAGACTCGCTTGACTCTGTGTTCGCACCACTAGGAGACGACGACGACGACGACGACGACTCGGCGGGCTGTGAGGCTTCAGAAGTTGACTGGTAGTTTGAAGACTGTGTGGTTTCAATGGAGGAGACAGACTCGCTAGGCTCTGTATTCACATCATTGGAAGAGGCTGAGGACGACTCGGCAGGCTGTGAGGCGTCAGCAGAGGACTGGTGGTGGGAAGCCTGTGTTTCTTCAGTGGAGGAGAGCGAGTCACTAGGCTCTGTGTTCACACCACTGGTAGACGCCGACGTCGAATCCGCAGGCTGTGAGGCGACAGTAGAGGACTGGTGATGGGAAGCCTGTGTTTCTTCAGTGGAGGAGAGCGAGTCACTAGGCTCTGTGTTCACACCACTGGTAGACGCCGACGTCGAATCCACAGGCTGTGAGGCGACAGTAGAGGACTGATGGTGGGTAGATTGTGTGGTTTCAGCGGAGTAGACAGACTCGCTAGGTTCTGTGTTCACATCACTGGGAGACGACGACGACCACTCGGCGGGCTGTGTGGCGTCAATAGATGACTGGTGGTGGGTAGACTGCGTGGCTTTAGTGGACGAGACAGACCCGCTTGGCTCTGTGTTCACATCACCGGGAGACGACGACGACGTCGACGACGACTCGGCATGCTGTGAGACTTCAGTAGAGGACTGGTGGTAGGTAGACTGTGTGGTTTCAGTGGAGTAGACAGACTCGCTAGGTTCTGTGTTCACATCACTGGGAGACGACGACGACCACTCGGCGGGCTGTGTGGCGTCAATAGATGACTGGTGGTGGGTAGACTGCGTGGCTTTAGTTGACGAGACAGACTCGCTTGGCTCTGTGTTCACATCACCGGGAGACGACGACGACGTCGACGACGACTCGGCATGCTGTGAGACTTCAGTAGAGGACTGGTGGTAGGTAGACTGTGTGGTTTCAGTGGAGTAGACAGACTCGCTAGGTTCTGTGTTCACATCACTGGGAGACGACGACGACCACTCGGCGGGCTGTGAGGCGTCAATAGATGACTGGTGGTGGGTAGACTGCGTGGCTTTAGTGGACGAGACAGACTCGCTTGGCTCTGTGTTCACATCACCGGGAGACGACGACGACGTCGACGACGACTCGGCATGCTGTGAGACTTCAGTAGAGGACTGGTGGTAGGTAGATTGTGTGGTTTCAGTGGATGAGAGGGAATCGCTACCCTCTGTGCTAACACCACTTAGAGACGAAGCATAGACTGGCTGAGAGTCGTCAGTAGAGGACTGGTGGGGGGAAGGCTGTGTGGTTTCAGTGGAGGAGACAGACTCGCTGGGCTCTGTGTTCACATCAACTGGATACGACGACGACGAATCCGCAGGCTGTGAGGCTTCAGTAGAGGACTGATATGGGGATGACTGTGTTTCTCCAGTGTAGGATAAAGAGTCACTAGTCTCTGTGTTCATACCACTGGGTGACGACCACGACGATTCGGCAGGCTCTGAGGCTTCAGTAGAGGACTGGTGGTGGGAAGGCTGTGTGGTTTCAGTGGAGGGGACAGACTCGCTAGGCTCTGTGCTCACATCATTTGGAGGCGCAGCATCGACAGGCTGTGAGGCTACAGAAGATGACTGGTGGTGGGAAGACTGTGTTTCTTCAGTGGAGGATAAAGGATCACTGGGCTCTGTGTTCACATCACTAGGTGACGACGACGTTGACGACGACAACTCGGTAGGCTGTGAGGCTTCAGAAGATGGCTGGTACTTGGTAGACTGTGTGGTTTCAGTGGAGGAGACAGACTCGCTAAGTTCTGTGTTCACAGCACTGGGAGACGACCACGACGCCTCAACATGCTGGGAGGCTTCAGTAGAGGACTGGTATTGGGATGTCTGTGTTTCTTCAGTGGAGGATAAAGAGTCATCAATCTCTGTGTTCATACCATTGGGAGATGACCACGACGACGCAGTAGACTGTGAGCCTTCAGTATAAGACTGGTAGTGGGGAGATTGTGTGGTTTCAGTGGAGGAGACAGACTCGCTTGACTCTGCGTTCACATCACTGGGAGACGCAACATCGACAGGCTGAGAGGCGTCATTAGGGGACTGGTAGTTGGTAGATTGTGTAGTTTCAGCGGAGGGGACAGAATCATGAGGCTCTGTTCTCACACCACTGGAAGACGACCACGACGCCTCAACAGGCTGTGAGCCTTCAGTAGTGGACTGGTATTCGGATGACTGTGTTTCTTCAGTGGAGGATAAAGAGTCACCAGTCTCTGTGTTCATACCACTGGGTGATGACCACGACGATTCGGCAGGCTCTGAGGCTTCATTAGAGGACTGGTGGTGGGTAGATTGTGTGGTTTCAGTGGAGGGCACAGACTCGCTAGGCTCTGTGTTCACACCACTTGAAGACGAAGCATCGACAGGCTGATAGGCGTCAGTAGAGGATTGGTGATAGGAAGACTGCGCTTCTTCAGTGGAGGAGACAGACTCGCTTGACTCTGTGTTCACCCCACTGGGTGACGACCATGATGATTCGGCAAGCTGTGAGGCTTCAGTAGAGGCCTGGTGGTAAGTAGATTGCATGGTTTCAGTGGGGGAGAAATGCTCGCTATGCTCTGTGTTCACACCACTGGGAGACGAAGAGGTCTCGGCATGTTTTGAGTTCGAATCCTGTGTAGCCTTTGAGCTTTCGATTGCAGATACATTTGTAGATTTAAACGTTTGAATTCCGTTTGCGTGCTCTAACGATCCTGTTTCAACCGATAGCTGACCATGTACTTCTTTCGACGCTGCAATTTTGAATAAGTTTTTTTATCACATTACGCTTTTCAAGAAAATTCTAAGATTAATCATGGCAATCATTGCTTACGACATACCAAATATAACAACTGCCAGGATGAGCAGGACGTTGTATGGACTGTTTATCATCGCTTTTCTCGGTAGTTCTAAAATCGGCATACAACATTGTGTGAAATTTAAGGAATACCCAGCTTCTATTTTAATTTTCGGCAAACCGAATTCCCTAATTTACCTCAAACACTCTGGGGACGATGACTGTCTACCTTCTGGTGTCTCCATTTATGACTGCTTAAATATCCGTGCGTGATGCCCTAGGCACAAGCAATTGGTTAGTTTTCCCTCTAGGCAAGTGCGTGCAGTTGACTCGAATTACGAATTTTTTGACTACCTCAGGAGGGTACTTCGGCGTTTATACCTGTCATCCTGAAAGCTGAAACGTGGGCGGCGGGTGGGGCGGATCCTCTCGAGTTGATGGTATGCACGCTTCTCTCTATCTCTCATGTGAGCACGCTCAGGTGCAATTTTATCGTTTTTGTACTCCTGTTTAATTCCAAATTTAGCAGCTCTAATACTCTGTATGACTGATCGCTCGTTAACTGCGAATAACTGACTAACGCAGATTCAGTACTCCTTGGAGACTTTAGTTCACATTAGCGTAATGTACATTCACGCCGACCAACAGACTTCACCTGCCTTCTGCGAGCAGTTTGTGCCCTAAGGAATCTCGTACAGCGACCGCACAGTTACACGGGTGTTGCGTTGTTAAGCGATTGTGAAACTTGTTAGCGCCGGCGCCGACCATTCTGACCAATTAAATCCACCCCATATCTGAGAGTTTACGGACTAGATGCCCCTCTTCTTCCAGAATGCGACCTCAGGTATCTGGTTGGACTTTCGCAGCAGCGATAATTGACCTGCAAGGACAAATTGCGAGGTATAGACTAACTGAAAGGAATGATTCAGGACATTGGCAGACACTTATGTCCTTTCGAACGAGCATTAATGCTGTCTTGCTTCTGAAAATCAAGAACCGGGAAAAACCTAACACTTATTTGACCTTCTAGGAGGAACAACCAAAATTGCGTGGAACCAAAAGAAATTCCTCTTTCGAGCATTCATTTCTAGATATATATAGTCTAGAAATTAATAAAAAGAAGAAATGGAGACTTGAGTTTGACTTTACGAAGTTCTACCGAGTTCACTTAGACGCTTAAATTGGTACTGGCATGGCAAGAATGTTTACCGGTCTAACAGAACAAACGCACTTATGTCGATTTTTTAAAAACGCCATCTACTAGCTGTCTAAAATAATCATGATATATAGAAAAAATCAACAGTCGATTGAACGATTTTTTCTCATGATACCCGTTACGCTTATGAATTCAAATTTACTTTATGTAAATTTATTGTGAATGAAGTATTTTCTCTCATACTCCTTGTATAGCCTATTAAGTCCTCTTTAAATTTCTGCCCCAAAAATTGGCAGGCTTCGATTTCGATATATATCGTAATTATCAGGTTTTTTAAAACCGCGAACTGGATATACTAATAACTTCGTATCAGTCCGTTAACACTGCTGTCTGTGGTATATACAACATAGCCCATGCCGAATACAAAATTAGGTAAGTCATACAAACTAGTTGACACGTCTCATGAAATATGAATATCATCGAAAATCTGAAACCAGTTGGAATTTATCCATTAAAACATCCACCTTCTGGTAAACAACCTCCAACTGAATTAATCCTGGCTGATGATACGAAGTTCAAAGGAGAGAGGCAAAACAAAGACCAAACAGAGAACGTGGAAACACAACTTACGAAACGTCTTCGGAAATTGAAAGTCTCTTTTCCTAATGAATAAGACTTCAAAGCTCTCAAGGCCCCAGGCACAATAGTTCCAAGGTTCTACGGTTTGCAAATGATTAATAGACCAGACGTTCCGATGAAGCTGCTATTATACATGATTAATTACCTAATAATGCAATTCCTAAGTGGCCGTCAGAAAGGCTTATGCCGATTGGACACAGAATGGCTCCACGTAGTTTACGGGACACATAATTAATTCGTCGATTTTTATTAGACGTATAGATTTCAATCGGAAAACGATGTTATCCCTAGAAGTCGAGTCTTTGTTCACTAAAATTCCTCTCATGATAGAGATAGAATTGGTACGTGGCGAGATTTAAAGGCTGGTCTATCCAATCGAAATGCCGGCCGGAGACCTAAAGGAATTTCTCTTTCGCTGGGCGTTAAATGTCCAATTCAGATTCGATGGCCAATTTTACCACCAGATCGACGACTTAGCGATGAGATCACCCTTTGAACCTCTAATAGCTGAGGCGTTCATGCGAAAACTAGAGAAAAACCAGCTATGTTCAATTATAAAGGAATTTCATTTCTATGCTAGATATGTCGATGACACTTTCGCGATAGCGAATGAAAGGCTTGACTTAGACGCTCTCCTGCGTAAAGTGAGTCGTTCTCACGCGGCGTTAACTCTCACCTTGGAAGAGGAGAACGGAGAGTGCCTCCCCGTTTTCGATGATCTAAATAATCGAATGCTGGATGGAACAATTAGTAGAAGTGTATTTCGCAGGGAAACATGGACAAGACAATGCATACATTTTTACAGTTTTGACCCGCTAAGCTAGAAACGAAGCTTGGTCCGCTGCCTCATCAACCGAATGAAATCACCACTCTACAAAACACTGAGAGAGAACGGCTACCCCGGAAAGTTTATGGAAGATTGTCTTTCAAAATCTGATGTGTCGATGGCCGAGAAGTGGGAATTATTTCCAACACTGCCATTTGGAGGGGATCTGCCGAACGAACTCCTACATCGTCGCCTAAACGCTGCTATCGCACGCACGTACCCAACCGCTAAGATAAGACTGGTTGTCGCAAGCTCTCAGCTTCCTCGCCTTGAAGGTAAGGATAGACTGCCTTTTCAAACATCTTCAGTGTACATCTAACCCTTCACCTGGCCCCGTTGGGTAGGTAATAGTGGTCGAACAACCAGCTATCTATTCAAGTGGATGCGAGAACACTATCCTGCCTGGCTAAAGCAAGCAGGGGGAAAAGTCCGTCTCTAACACAAGTGTGGCTCACTTGCTTGATAGCGGCCACCGGGTAGACGTTAACCAATCCTTCCGAGTCATCTATAAATGCCGGCGAGACACTGTAAGTTGTCGTGTCAGCAAATGCTTACGACGGCAGCGGCAGTGGCCATACGGTTAGACAACCCAGCCTTGTGCTTGCATAAGAAGTTTGTGCAAGAACTAAGGCTCCTCTGGGTGAAGACAAACCTAGCATATGTGCTCACACCTGCCACGTCACGTTAAAGCGAAGCAAGAGAGGGAGAGCTGATGACCAATCTACTCCCCCACCTCTCCCTAATATCCCAACAGAACTAGACTCCGATCCCTAACGTCTGAACGTCCCTCAACCCTCTACCCATAATTAATTTATGATAATGGAATGTTCTGCATAAGATTTATTTGCAGTTTTTTCGGTGGTTGAATATGTTGTGTTTCAGACCGCCCTCGAGTCGTCAGTTAATGATGTACGAACGAATGTTTTCGGTAACTCATCATCAGGCCGATATATTTACATGGGTAATGATCATTCTAATTGTAGACAGGATATAAATGCGTCTCAGGGACAGGGCTAATCGGACTCCATGTTTCCACGCCGCCCGCATGACGGAGTCAGCGTGTTGAGGACGGTGGAGTTGGGGTGGGAGGGAGGGGGGAAGGAGAGGGGTTCCGGTTATATTGTAAGCCCTGTAAGTGCGTGTGATTGCTGTCTGGGCGTCGGGACGGCGTGCGATCACCGTCTGGAGTCGGCCAGGCCAGACAGACTGCTTGTGTCCGCGTCTTCTGACAACCGCGCAAGTTCGACGCGGAGAAGGCACTCGCTAACGCTGTCCTAAGACGTCGTCTCACTAGTTCGCTTGCTGCGTCTCCTAGAACGGCAGTCATAGAAGTAAGCCCTTCTTCTCTGCAGTTTCAACGGCCGGTTTTGTGGCACGCTCTCTAATATTCCGCGGGATTTATCGTCCCGGATAACCGTTTTCGTGGAGCGCGCTTTGCAGCTGTTGGAGGTCTGCTTCAACAGTATCAGGAGAACAGATGCATCGCACTCTAGCCGCCAGTCCCTGGACTGAATTTCGTTTTTGATTTAAGGGAGCAAAACTGTGGAAATTAATGTTTTGTTTCGTCTAGGTTTTCTTTCTTAATATCTTGCACTGGATAGCTCCATCCTCTTGTTTGTGTAGAAGGATATCGATGAACGATTTCCAGCGATTTCTATATATCGCCCATAAGAATGGATTCTGAAATACTTATTTATCAAAACCTGAAAAATCATGATACTTCTTGAAGGCATTTACCGACTCAGAGAGCCTGCTGGAGTTCTTTTTTCAGGTCTATGGTCGTTTGGGTCACATTCTCAGAATCGATCAGACACGAAACCCCATTGTAGAAAAAGTGAACATTTGCAACAAAAGTCAGGCGAATACGATATTGGTCGACCGAAGAATTTTCTGTAATACGTAACCTATTTAAAAGTGCTTCATACTGCATTCTTTTTACAGATTTCTACGAACTTTACACTATTAGACATTAATGCTAGAAAAATAACTGACACTTCTAACCAGCCTTTTTTATTTACTGAAAAGTACTGACAACCGTTCTGCAGCAAACTTAAGAACTTACGTTTCCCTTTATATCGCAGTCTTTTATCTCCGAGATCCGTTCGACTATTATGAAGTCCCCGAAATCT